GCAGCCACTAGGGATGCACATTTTCAGTTTCTTCTGTGACCATTAACAGACACTTGTTAACCAACCCATTAACAAAATCAGACTGGATGAGTGTCTGTGACCCATAAAAAAATATTTTTACATGTGCAAATACAGCATAAATAACAACATCAAGAGAACATAAAACATCACATCACACACCTGTGGAACTGTGAACAGAGTAAAACAGTCTAGTAAAATAGTGTGTGTGCTGCTGACCTAAGGCAGCTCACACTACTTTAGGGGTGTATGATATTTTAAAAAATGTGGGCCATGAATGTCATCTCCTTTCAAAGTAAAACAGAACATTCTCATAGCCTATGAAAACTGCAGGTACCGCGGTTTGGTGAAGCTCGTTGTCACCACCCTGTTTCCATCGTCTGCTGTCAAGGTGAGAGGCATCGCCTCTCAAACCCATGGAGAGGGCAGAAAACTACTGGTCTGCCAGATAGTAAGGCGGAATCCCATTTCTCCCCCTTTCCCCTAGCACTTAGCCCTAACCCTCTATTTTGCGTGTTCACATGTAGTAGTAGTAGTAGTAGTAGGGGTGTCCCAAATCTCCTTAGGATGGAGGGGCAGGGCGAAGTGGAAGGGCTACACAGCAGTTAAAACAGAGTCAGACATTGGTATGAGGCTGCTTTAAGAGCTGTTGTTGTGTTTTTGTTAAACTTTTGTTAAGCATTTTGGCCAACTTCTGTTGATTTTAACAGTGTTACATAAATAAATTTGCTGACTATTTTTAACAGTATTACATCAGATGGAATTCTTAATGCCAGTTAATGGTTAAGAGTGTGCATCTATATCAGCCACCATGATCAGGAAGAATATCAGACACATGGATCTACAGAGTAGGTGTGACATACGGTAAAGCTAATGACTAATGCTTTTCCCCATTTACCTAAGGATGCACTGCAACCTCATTTCAAATTTTTGCACCCTCAACTGAATAGACACAAAAACCCACAATTTTCTATAATAACTAGTCAAGGCTTTTAAACGACAATAGTGAGTCAGGTTGTAATGCAGTCACTGGTTATGACAGGTGTGCGTGAGCTGTGACATTACAAAATGTACGCAACTGCACTACCAGGGTTAACTTCAGTGAATCCTTATAGGCCACATCTGTGTGGACTTAGATTTCAAAATGTACAGTAATGGATCATAGATATCTGAAAACAGCTGAAGCAGCCACTGAAGCTGAACACCAACAACACTTCCTCCACCACTGCAGACACTCCAGCAGATCATGGGGAGATTAGCAATATTACAAGCAGCGACAAGACACTGCCAGCACCACTGCTCAGCAGCCCACCAATCCCAGATGACCTTGGTAAAGAAAAGCCTGTCCAACCCACCCCATTTGTACAGCAGGGAGACATTCATTTTGCAGCTCATAGTTCAAAAACAGAATGGCTAGAATATTCCTGCAAAAGTGATGCCATACTTTGCTATACTTGTAGCCATTTCATGACAAAAGAGAAGCAGATGTCTTCACCAAGACTGATTACAACAACTGGCGCCAGGCTCTTGCACATAATAAGGAACTAGGACAACATGAATCAAGCAAAGTGCACATGAAGTCAATGGCGTTGTGGAGGGAGAAGCGTGCAAGAAGTACGACTGGGACCGAACTATCCACACTCGTCAATGCAGCACAGCCTGAAAGAAACCGCACATATGTGGCAGCTATTGTGGACATCGTTCAATTTATAGCTGTGAACTAGCTGCCTTTCCGTGGCTCTGTTAATGCACTGAATGGAAGAGGCGAGGGGAGTAGTGGTACTGGTATTTTTCAGCAGTGATATACGGTATGTGACCTTTAACACCTACACTATTTTTCATTGCTTTTGCCAGGTCACTGTAGCTGCACCCCCTTTAATCTCAGATGCACTCCAAGTCTTTCTGTTCTACCACTCGGCCCTGTTGGTAACAAAAACTTGGAACAACAAACCCAGCTTATTGCATGTGCAAGTGTTCAAGCATCACCCATGAGGCCACTATCACCTTGACAAAGAGGCATTCCATGCCTTCCTCATATGCTTATGGCCTCGACTGTCAATGCCCCTCGTCTTGCTTTAGACGAGCTTGAGCCACACACACAAATGCTCCCGAGTTCCCCTGAGGTTTGTCATTTCATCCTCATTGGAAAGCTGTGTAAATGTCAGAATAGGGTGTGCATGGGCTCAAGCAGTGAGAAACTAAAGCAATGCACAAAGCAAGGAACAATCTCTACAGCAGTCTGCAGTTAAGTGTTTATATGTCAAGACCATACAAACCTCTAGAGACTTGTGGCTGACAATAAACAGGATATAATCACAACACTATCAAGAGTTTAGTTAAGCTCAGCTGTAGGAAGGGAAAGAAATCACACAAGGGCCTGCTGCAGAGGATAATGATCTCACAGATAAAAAGAAATAATTCTTCACTGTCTTTGGTGGAGGTATGACTCCAGCCATGACATTAGGACAGAAGTATACAGGACCCTGCGTGGTAGCCATTTAATACAAATAAATACTATACATTTTCTTATGTAAACCAAAAAAAGGAAATCTAGACAATGACAAAAGAACAGCAGTGGTATTCACTGGCTTTGGGAAATGCAGTTGGTACACATCACATCATATCACGCTATATTTTGGTTCAGCAAAATATCAGTTTCAATGATACATAGAAATATTTCAGTTTCAGTAAATTTATCTGTTTACTTCCTAGTTAAAACTAAGTAAATACATTTAAAAAAATATGAGAGAGATGATAGTAAACTCTCTTATCACTCTCAATAGTAAAGAGGGTGGGGCCAGACATGTCCCAGTGTGAGGCACAGCTGCAGAAGTAATAGCCTAGATCTATTCATGAGGACAAATGTCTAAAATATGCCCCAAAAATTGCTGTTGTATAAGTTTATCTTTATAGTTAAGTGATAAGTAACCAGCCTTGTTACCATACATAGAAGCATGATCTAAACTACACATGGTCAGGAAAACACATACTACTACTAGCATATGGGCACTCCCTGTTGGCCAACACCTTAAGATTAAGCATAAGAATCGACCAGAGCAAACACCCTTGCTTACTACATATGATAACTGCAGTTGTGACTACAGATAAGGCATGGCAATTAAATTATCCTGCACTACTTTACACAAAATATGACTATTAAATGCAGCAGCAGACTCATTGCAGCAAAAGACCAAAGCTTTCGGCATGTGTGCATAATTTACTATGATTTTTGTCAAAGGAGGAAACACAGCGAACAGTTGGATCCAACGCCCTTAGCTTCCTGCAAGCAATGCTTCCTGGGGAACCAGGGCTACTGCATAGAGGTGGAGAAGGGGGAAGATATTGTCAGAGAATGAGGGGAAATGAGCATGTGAGGATGCAGTATGCAAGCATACTAATGGGTTCTGAGATGTGACAATGAGAAGGAGAAGGCAGCAGAGAAAGTGGAAGGAGAAGAGGGGAGAGAACAGAGATTTTGGGGCATGGATAGAGAGAGGACGGGGGGGGTCGAGCCAAGTGTGTGAGAGAGCAGCGTAACACTGCAACACAACACTGAGTCTGGCAAATGATATAATCTATCCAAGAATCACAATGTGTAACATGATGAAATTAAAGTTATTTTGGAGCTGAGCACAATGACCGTGTGTGTGTTTAAGAAGAACAGCTTTGTGGGGAGTGCATGTATTACCACCACATCTGCATACATCACCATAGACAAACAGGAAAAGGAGCGGGGATGCCACAGCAAAGGAGAAGTACAAGGGACATTTGATATATGGCCTGCTTTTTTATGTTGATGGACCCAAATTCATATTGCTCTATCAGCAACCCCTTCAAAGGTTGCCTTTAGTACTAAGTAAATAAAAAAACATTCATAATAAAACAACTGTAACTTTAAATTTATATTTCAATTTTGAATACTTCCGCAAAGGAACGGTTATTTCTAAAATGGAGCCACATGGCCCACAAAAACTTGGCTGATTATAGGACAATTAATGTGGTATCAAATAACCTCAGACAAACACACAAACAAAAACTAAGGTAAAATATCTGCATATTTAAAGCTTACAGCATCTGTGAATTTTACATTTTAGACCATTTGATGGTGGGG